GGGTTTCTCTGTGTAGTTTTGGTCCCTGTCCTGGATCTCGCTCTGTAGATCAGGCTAGCCTTGGACTCACAGAGATCCACCTGACTCTGCCTTCCAAGTGCTGAGATTAAAGGTGTGTGCCACCATTGTCTGGCTTTTTTTTTTTTTTTTTTTAATTAAAGAATTGTATCATTTAGGAAATGTAAGAAACCATTTGTTAGTGTAGTGAACAATTTATTTCCTAAACAAAATGGTCAATTTTCCTTTATTTAGTGTAGAAAACAGTAGACTAAGGCTATAGAATAAAGTGGAGTACCCTTGAGGAAGGAGTGGACAATGGCCAAAGAGACTGTTGTATCTATAATGTCTAAATTTTTGTGTTTCTTGAGACAGGATTTCTGTGTAGCCCTGGCTATCTTAGAACTCACTCTGTAGACCAGACTGCCCTCAAACTCACAGAGATATACCTGCTTCTGCCTCCTTAATGCTGGGATTAAAGGTCTGGCTTTTACTATGTCTAAATGTATAAGTACCTCCTAGGTTGCAAGGGTTGGGGTTTGTTGTTGAGTTCGTTCCTCCATCTCAGTGGTTCTCACCCTTTCCCAGGTGTCCCATATCAGATGTCTTGCATATCATATGATTCATAAAAGTAGCAAAATTACAGTTATGAAATAGCAACGAAAATAATCTTATGGTTGGGGGTCACCACAACATGAGGAACTGTGTTAAAGGGTCCCAGCACTAGGAAGGTTGAGAACCACGGCTCTATCTGGTCAAGAATATTTATGAATAGCCATGCTCCTGGCTAGTGCGTCTTGTTTCAGAGTTTATGGGAAATTTTTTGTCTTGTTATCTTAACACTGGAAGCTAAAAGTATGTCAACAGCACAGCCCTTCCCTCCTATTAAAAAGGAGGAGGAAGCACGAACTCTAATTAGTTGCAATCCTTCAGGCGTAGGAGATACATTCCTTTAAGATTAAATGAGGCTAAAAGTAATGTTACTTCATCTTTCTCTTGTAGTGTGTGTCTGTCTTTTGTTCTCTCTCTCTCTCTCTCTCTCTTTCCTTTTTTCTTTTTGTTGTTTGATTTTGGTTTTGGTTTGAGACAAGGTATCTGAGGCTGACTTCAAACATACAGCATCCTCCCTCCCCAGCCCCCCAGTCCCAGGACAAGGACTAAAGGCTTTCTTGTAATTTGTCTGGAAATTTAATGTGGCATCTTTACAAATGTATAGTGAGTAGCTTCTGTTATTTTCTTCCCTGACAAGAGCATAAACTTAGGACGGGAACTTTTTATTGTTAAATTCCACGACTCGGAAGTGAACATGGAATTCTTTTGTATATATTTCTTCTGGGAGATTTAATTTCTCTTTGTGAAATTAAATGTGGTGGCCACACAAGCCAGATGTGGTCATGAATACCTAGAATACTGACCTCTGGAGGCAGAGGCAGAAGGATCAGGAATTCATGGATCTGCAGACATTGTGCCATTGAGTCTATAACCCCAGCCCTCTAGAAGAAGTCTTTAATCTTTTTTAAAAACTCAATTTATTTTCATTTCTTGTGTATAAGTGCTTGTCTGCATGTAAGTGTGTGCACCATGTGCATGCAATGCCCGCAGAGGCCAGAAGAGTGATGGAACTGGAGTGATGGGTGATTGTGAACCACCATGTGAATGAAGGGAACTGAACCTGGGTTCTCTAGAAGAGAGAGCATCCTGTGCCCTTAACAACCAAGCCAGCTCTCCAGCCCCAATCGATTTGTTTTTGTTTTTGAGACAGAGTCTATTTACTGTAGCTTGGGCTAATCTAAAACCTTACTTCTAAAAGAGAAAGCTTAAAAACTGTGTACTGAAGTAATAAGCTTTTAAGAATAATGTATGCCTGTCCTGGTAGCTCACACCTGTAATCCCAACATTCTGGAGATTGAGGCAGGAGGAGTACCACTAGTTTGATGTCAGCTTGAAATAAATAATGAATTCCTATACAGCCTGGGCTATAGATTGATTCTTCATCTCAAAAAACAAGATGCGTGGGTGGATGATGAATGGATGGATGGATAGATAGATAGGTAGGACTGGGGAATGGTTTAGTTGGTAAAACATTCCTAGAACCTACTTGAAAATCCTGGGCATAGTGATGAGTGTTGTAATCCCAGTGCTGGGGAAGCAGAGAGATCCCTGGGGACTCCCTGGCTGGTCAGTCTAGCCTGATTGATGAGCTCTAAGTTAGTGAGAGACCCTGTTTCAAAGGAGATGAACAGTGTTCTGGATAATGTCACATGAGATTGTCCTGGGTCTTACATGAATCTGCATAAACATGTATCCATGCAGGCATGTGTACCTATACACAAATATACATATTAGTGATAAAAATTTTTTTACTAATAAGTAATGTATTAATTGTAAAATAAAAGTAAAACTTTTTTTTTTTTTTTTTTTTTTTGTTTTGTTTTTTTCGAGACAGGGTTTCTCTGTGTAGCTTTGCACCTTTCCTGGAACTCACTTTGGAGACCAGGCTGGCCTCGAACTCACAGAGATCCACCTGCCTCTGCCTCCCAAGTGCTGGGATTAAAGGCGTGCGCCACCACCGCCCGGCGTAAAACTTTTTTTGTTGTTTTGTTTTTGGAGGGTTTGTTTTGGTTTTGGGGCTAAGGATTTCTTTTATGTGTATAGCTGTTTTGTCTGCATGTATGTTTGTACACCACATGCATGCCTGGTGATCTCAAAGGCCAGAAGGTGTCAGATGGCCCGGGACTGTAGTTACAGATGGTTGTTAGCTGCCGTATGGGTTCTGGGAGTTGATTCCAGTCCTCTGGAAGAGCAGCCAGTGCTCTTAACACCTGAGCCATCTCTCCCGCCCTGAAGAGACATTCTTAAAAAGATGAGTGGTTTGAGTACAGAAACACAAAGGCATGGGCCACAAGCTTCTGCTTATAATTTCACTATGCTTCCACAGTGTGTACTTTAATATTGGTTAACAGTGAAGGCTAGTTAGTATCCTAACCTCAATCAAAAGGTAATGATGGGTTGATACTTAGCTGACAGGATTTATTAATTCTTCCAACAAATTTTAGTTGGCACACTGCCCTAGCTGCCATGAAGGGGAAAAGGAAAAGAATAGGGTAGTGTTTCAGGGGACTAGGGATGACTCAGTGAGTAAGTGCTTGCTTGTACAGAGTAAGGGCATGAATTCACATTTCCAACACTATTTAAAAGCCGAATAGCCGGGCGGTGGTGGCGCACGCCTTTAATCCCAGCACTCGGGAGGCAGAGCCAGGCGGATCTCTGTGAGTT